TAATATTCTTATGATTTTATAATTCTAAAATTATTGTCCTGTGTTTATGAAATGTCTGTGGAATACATACTTCACCTTGAGAAAAACATTCAGTATTAGGCAATTGCTATTCCAAAAGAGACATGCTCTGACAGCAGGAAGATTTTATTGCTTGACTGAACTCAAATTATTCAAAACTTCCTCTTCTGTTATCCCACATAAAGGCAACAACTTGCTGATATCAGCCAGTGACTCTTTTATTCCCCTTTCTGCTACAGAAATTAAGATTAAAAGTAATTTCACATTGTCTAAGGATGGTAATTTAAATAAACATTTCTTCCTCTAATTTTCTGTAATTTAATTCTACAAATTAAAAAGTGGGCAGAACATTGAGCTATTTAAGAGACTATCAAGGGCAAAATGGAGAGGACAACTGTATGGGTTATAGTGAGGGAATAAAAGCCAAAATCATATTTAAGGGTACAATGGGCCCTTCTCTTAAGGAGTAACCTTATGAACACAAAGTAAGAGAAAAGCTACTACAATCTATTACCTTTAATGTTAAAAGTTTGTTATTTATCCAGGCAGTATCAGTCTTCATACAGCATGAGGTGGGGTGGATAAGCAAAGTGTGCAGCCTCTAGGAGCTGAGGTTGGCACTGATGACACTCTTACCTGGCCACGTGCCTGTAGCACAGCTGAGGTTCTGTGTTGTCCTTTTGATTTCCACACCAGCTCATACATGCTGGAAGCAGGGCCTCAAAAAAACCAAATACCGATTCCTACCAGTGAGTGCAAGTCCAGGTAAGAACAAAGGAATGAGTTGTGTGCCACATGCATAACACTCCAAAATGCATATCAGCAATGTTCTTAGGGTGAGTCTGTAAATGGAGTTTAGGAATAACATAAATAACAGAATATAATGAAGAAGCAACTTTTAAATACATCAAAACAGTGCTAGGAATACTCCCAAGGTATATCCTCTAGATATTCTCTGGACATGTACCACGGTAGATAGAATGAGATGAAAGAGTGAAAACACAAAGTAACAACAATGGAATAAATTCCCACTAGCTGCATATCAAGACACTTAGCTGTAAAAATATTATATTTCTACATCCTAGGTTACAGGTTCATCAAATAAAAGTAAATGTAAAGTCCTGAATGTAAAAGAGAGAATACTGGGGATTTTTCTAAATTGTCATTAGCGTCCTGTAGTGACAGCACCTTTGTTGAGGTCAGCAGGAGTTACTGTCATCCAGTACATTCTGGGACAGGATCCAGATAGTTGCTATTAAAAAGTCACAGATAAGAAGTCTAAAATGGAAAGAGAAGGCTATCACGATCTGTATAAATCAAAAGCTATAAATTCCAAGTACTGTACTAATTCCATTGTATAAATTTAATAAGGTAAGGAAAAAGAACACAAGGAAAGTAGTTAGTCAGCATGATTACAAATGAAATTATGTAATTTTATTTGGAACAATTGTCTAAGGATGTGAATACAATGAAGAATTGTATGCTATACTAGACAGAATTTGTAGGCTTGTTCAGGAAAAGTATAAATATTTTGCTCTTTGCGTCTGTTGAGAATACTGACCAATTTCCCTTCTGAGACTAATCCAAAAATATGAACAACAAGTATTTTTTTCAATCAGGTCTGGGCAATTTACATCTGGTATCTTTACAAGCCTCTGTAATTACTAGACCAGCCTTCTCAGAAATTTTCAGATTCCTACAAAAGCTCCAAAGGACTGGGAAAAAATATGGACTGTATGAAGACTGTGGTTAAAAAAAAAAAAAAAAAGAGTTATTTAGGAACTTTAGGCCTGCCAACCTGACAATCAATCCTTAGCCATCCATTTATCTAGCTGAAAACTACCTATCCAATGCAATAACTAGTGAAAATGATACTGAACATTTGTGTGCCACAGTAATGTCCATCAACACTGATGTATAGAAAATAGATCCACTTGTACTAGTTTTTACTTTGCTCTTTAGTTGTTAGAAGTTAAACTGCAGCATAATGATTAATAAGAAAACATCTTACGCACTGCCATGCATTTTGACTGATAATTGAGACAGCATTCAGGGAACAGAATGCAGGTGCTCACAGTCATGGTTTACTGAACATAAACTCCAGTGATGCTTAAATACCTTGGTCTACCAACGTGAACCTTAGACAAATTAATGGAAAAAAACGATGCATTCCCTTCCTAGAATGAACAGTATCTGAAATCAGAAGTTCTAAATATGTTGATAAATTGAAGAGGATTTAGAGAAGAGACAGAAAATTACTAAAGAACTGAAAAACATGCCTTAGTGACAGACCACAGGAGCTCACTGAGTTTAGTTATCAGGCTATTTCTCCTGGCACTAGTAAGTTTATTATGCTGTGAGCCAGTTCAGGGAGCTGATCTGGCTGAAAGCTGACCTGCCTTTTCCTGTTTGCTTATTTAAGGTTTTCATCTGCACCAGGTCCCTGAACTGGTCTACCCCATGGCCACATAAGCAGTGTCAACACAAAACTGGTTACAGGGAGAAGTGGCAGGGAACTGAAGGAAAAGACAGGACAATTCATCCTCAGATCTAGACCAACTGAACTGCATCTGCACATATCCTCCTACAGAAGGTTCTCTACAGCCTCATGGTGTCAGTGAAGAAGACATTACAGACTCTTCTGGGTGGAAGCCAAAGCTGGTGACATTCACACTGGAAAAATTAATCAGGCACTGCGATGTCTGCTTTTGCACGAGCGTTATCGTCCACGAGATTAGATGACAGTCTAGGAGATTTCACTGCCTGCTGTAAGGACTCATTCGTGGAAGCCCTGCAGTGTATGCTACACTGAACAGCAGACCACATGATCTGGGTGTTTCTTTTTGTCCTCAAACCCTAGGAAGTGATGTGTTGAAAAACATCCAATCTGATAATTGTCAAGTTGAAATTCTTCTTTCAGAAACAGAAACATTATGGCATTTGTATACATAGACTTTTCCTCTAACATTTTTCTAAAGAAATTGGACTGTTTGGGCCAGTTACCTGCAGCTGAGTGCTTTTCAGCCTCTACTGTGATACAAACAAGTCCAAGTGGATAAATACGCTAATAAAAACTAATAAAGCCATTGCTCTCACCTACAACAAAAATTTGTCTTTACCCAGTATTCTTATAGTTTATTCAGCACTTTTCATGCTTTATTTGGACGACAAAATTTTAAAGAAATGTAAAACTTTTTAACTGAGTTTTTCATTTAGTGCCACAGGAAATAAGCTATTAGACTAAACGGCTCAATCTTTCCCATATTCCAACCGTACCTTGAGACAGCAGATAAAGGGCAGATTGTGAAAGCAAACCCTGGAAATAAGTGGGTCAGAAGTCTAGTGGAGAAGTGCCAGTTTGTGGCTGTTTGACTGCACAGAGCTTGCCAGAATACAAATGCTGCCCCTTTATTCAGACAATTTGCCAGCAGCAAGACCATGCTGGCTCAGGGACTACTGACCTACCTTCATCATGGCCAGGAAGGAAACAAGGCAGAAGGGACAGCTGTGGTCAGGGCCAGTGGGTCATCCTGGGGCCTGGGACCCATCAGCCCACCCAGCTTGGTCCTGACTGCACAAGGGACCATGGCAGGAAGGGATTGCCATGGAGCACTTCTGAGTTACTGCAAGACCTCCTAGTGCTTGCAGCTTTCTGACATAATCATGCCTTGAGCTGTCAGCTACAGGAAGATGTGGAAGTGAATTTTACAAGGCGGGGAAAATTAGGAGTGTTTGTACAAGACTAAAAATTGGGAAAAAATGTATAATCTGGATCCTTTACTAAAAAAAAAAAAAAGGAAAAAAGAAAAAAAGAAAAAAAAAAGTCACATTCCTGGAACAGTCTCTGCCCTTTTAAAGGGAAAAAACTTTAACTTCATGCTTCTAATAATCATGGATTTTGCTGTAATATGAGGAGAGAGATTGTCACTAAGCTATTTGGAAAATCTGAGTCAAAACCAAACTACGTTCAAATCTATGGAAGTCTCTGTAGTTATGAATATATGCTTTGCTAAAGGACCACTTATAAATTGTGGGTGTGACCCTAAAGTTCTGCCATGACCAGAAAAACAGACAAAACTGAAGTAGCAACATTTTGTGTTATTTCATTTAACTATGAAACCAAAAACAAAGGTTGTTCCCATCACACCAGCACTGCATTCCTTCCTGAAGAAGGTGGGAGAGGACTGGAGGAAAGGGCTTTTTCTTAATTTTACTTTTTTTTAATAATAAGAGCCTGCTCCTTAATAAACTAACTAATGTTCTGACTTTACCTCAAAATTACAAATTAAAAGTATAGATCACGTGTTCTTTATCAGTGGAGGTGTTCTCTTAATTGCAGTCTTACCCTCTTTGGCTGAACTTCAATGAATTAACACTTACTTATATTCTAGTTTGAGAAAAATGTTAAGCTGCAAAAGCTAAGTCAGAGGCTACATGGAGCTGGGCATTCTAACCTTAGTGATGGTATGACTCCTATAAGCTCCTATATGAACTTCCCTACCTTTTGCATTATGTTGAATTAAAAAGGATGATAAAATATTAACTCACATCTGTCCATCTCCCTAAGCAAGGTGTACTGCTAACATTGTCATTTCCCAGCAGCTAAACACTGAGCTTTTTTGAAGGAGAAAGAAACAAACTAAACATTTCTTTCATCCAGATGATATCAAGTAAAACCTAAAACAAACAAATATCACCAAGGACTGTAGCTTTTCCGGGCAGTTTGGGTTTGCAAGGTAGGAGTAATGTGTGAGTGTATTACTTGGATTATACAGAAAAATATCTTTGATTTCTTTTGATACCAAGAAATTCCAAAAAAATACATGAGGCTGCTCACACTTTGTGCAAGGATTTTTGCTAGCTCTTATTTCCTCACAAGGAAATAGACCTGCTTCAAATCCCTGACTCGCTGTTGCCAACAACTTCGATGGAAGTATCAAATGCTCCAGTGTGTGCTAAAAAAACTTGTAGAGCAAGGAATGTATAACAGAATTTAATTTTATTCCAGTTTGAACACAGTGGAGAGTGGAATGGGGAAGTAATGTGATAATTTGACCAACCATGGCTTTGACTGTCTCAGCAGTTATGTTGTATATTTCCAACAGACAACTTGCAATATCAGTATTACTACTTCAGCAGTCATATGTGAGAGTTTTGTTTGGCAGCAGGGGAAAAACACATGCAGCTCATTTTAATGAAAAACAAAATTAGCATGCCGTTTCATAAAAGTAAATGCTAGTACTTTCTAAATAAATAATGCACTAGTACTAATATTTCAGTAAAACTATACCAAAGATTTCCTACAATTAAAAAAAAAACCCAAAACCAACCCTGAGGCAAATCCAGTCTTCAGAAAATATTCTCCTGCACATTTTGATCCATTTCTGCCAGGCAGAAGTGCAGAAATCCCAAAAGCTCAATATTCATAGCAAAAAGCTTCTCCAGCAAAGTTACCACCAGGTTTAAGATAGGCAGTCAAGAAGGTCTGGTATAACAAGGCTCGAAGCTGGTCTAGCTACACTTGGAAATGCTGCAGAAATTTGGAGTCTGTAAATATTTTTAAGACATTCTAGTGCACCCATTTCTTTGACTTGAGTGGCCACTGTCGCAAAAGTAAGTGTGACTGCTTGCCTCCTCCGTGTGTAGGGATTTAGTACACTTGGACTACACAGACAGCGCCAGGCATTAATTACAGTATTCTGTTAGCCTTGTTTCCTAGGGAAATACGGCTCATACACCTGCATTGTCCATTTGAGTGGACATCTGTCCCCCTTAACAACCTCTGAGTTGATGGGTAACTTCAAATACAATCAAAAGAACTGAAAACCCTCATAGCTGTTACATTCTTACAAATTTGATGAATACTGCTGGAGGGGTAAAGGAAGAAAAAAATCTGTAGTTCACCGAGGGAGAAAGCTAAAATTCAGCCATAACCTTTAGCCTAACAGAAGGTGGCTCTGTCAAGGAGTGTGCTGCCTTTTTCCAAGTAAATGTGAAATAAAATGGGTGGGGGTGAGCAGAGTAGTTGAAGCGGTAGTACAAAGAAAATGAGACCGAAGCCTTCAGAAGGGCAGATGCAAAGTATTGTTCCTCATGAAACAATTTCCCTTCTTGTATTATTACATGATAACAAAGCTCTCAAATACTATCAAGCTGTCAAATTAAAAAAGTTAACTAACCTTCCTTCAGCTGGTTCCTCTGCATTATAACCACGCTACCCAAGAAAGAACAGGCACTTCCACACATGAGGATTATACTAACAATTTGCTAGTAATTTTCTATGAAGCTGACCACAAGTTTGTAATAGCTTGCTAGAGATCACAGGGTAGCTAATGAGAATTTCTAGATGCGTTTATCTCAAATCATGTATTACCTTAGGTATGAGTGCTTTTCATTAAACGAGCACTATATCCCATGTTATTATTCTCTGGCTTCATAAAAACATCGATATTTTACTTCAGCATTACTCGGTGCCATTCAAACTAAGATGCTTAATCACTGTGTCTTCCTGACAACTGACTGATCAGCACTACAAGAATTTTCTGTGATGCTTAAAAGGAAATTGTTCAGTCTGAGCACTATACATTTCTGTTTATCTTGCCATCAGTGTTACTAGAGATCCCCATTTATGTAATTTTCTCTGCTCTGTGTTTCTGCTTTATATATTAGCTTGGAGTCTTTGCTGAAGTTATGAACATGATACTGTGGAAGAGCAAGCAAAGGTAACAACATCTTTACCAAGAATAAAAAGGCCAGCATAAACCACGCAGCTGAGTTAATATTTAAAGAACAAAATTTAATTTGGTATGCAACTTTTTCCTAGGAGGATCTTTATTTTCAATGCTATACATGGGAAAATTAGAATGAATAAGTGGCTCATTATCTACATGTATAAAAATATAGACATCCTAATCAAGCATAGGCAAAGTCACTCTTCATGATATGAATCACTGAAAAGACCTATGCCTTAACTTCTAATTAAAAGAAACTGGTGGGGGGGGGGCTTAAAAGCACTTATAAATGCTACTGCATTCATCCATAAGTATGTGAACTGTGAACACCCGCTACAAAATGTATATGGGACTCCAGTATCGTGCCTTTAGATTTTTGTCCTTTTTCATGTCAACAAGTTAGCAGAGTCATCGTGTTTATCCGTTCTTTGAGCTCTCAACAGAAGAGACCAGCAAAACTCAGTGACTTTGCCTGGGCCATTTTTCCTTTTAAAAAATTTACAGACGTTACTAAGTAATGTCTCAGAAAAATATCATTTTCTGTGGCAAACCACCAAATGACTATTACATTTATGGCACCATCATTTTTAGTCTACTGATGATACTGATAATGAGTTACAGTAAACAAAGGGCCCCATTTTTTAACACTAATAACACTTCAAGTTTTTAACACAAAGATTAAAAAAAAAATCATCTGTTTATATTACATCCATTTTTACTTAAAATATGAGAATTTTTGGGTCATATGCCAGCAAGTGGATAGGCAATCATTAATCAAAATACAGGCAATCTTTGTTTTAGAGATGCATTCAGCCACCTGGAAGTTTAGTTACAATTCACATTCAAGCAAGTATGTCACCGATTCCAATTCTACAAGCTGATGATACTCATATTCAGTTTTTCCATAGAAACAGGTATAAGAAACCAGTAAAACATTACCATATTATGTACATAACGTTATGTGTAAATGCTCAGCTAGATATATTATGAAATCCTGTAGCGCTAAAATGATTAAAAAACTAAATGATTCATGTAAAATGTTTATATACTGTATATATATGTACACTAAATCACAAGGTCAATTTAAAACTGCCCCTATTCATAGCTCCTATGATGGATTTACTAAGATACCAGTTTCTTAAAAAAAGAAAAATATCTAGAGCGAATTTGAACACTTTACTGAAAACTGATTTTATACAAAATCTTAAAAAACGTACATCAGAGTTACTTAACAGAAACTAGAAAAAGACAGTCGTTATTCTTGAGAATGGCACTGTGAAGACCTAGTAGCTGTGATCAATGTCCTCTCACTTGTGGTAGAAGTAAGTTAAGCACAAAGAAATCATCTCAGAGTAAGGCATAGGACAAACAGGCTTCACTCCCATCTTCAGGTGTATTGGCTTCTCACTGTATCTTATTGCTCATCTAATTTGGCAGGTATACATTTCTTTCCTTTTAAAAATACTCCATAATACAACTATCTACAATTGGACAGTACCCAGTGCTTTCATATGCACATCTTCAATTTAATCATTATCAATAAACAACCTTGCTAGTATTAAAAAAAACCAGCCACGGTGATGAACATTTTTTTCAGTTTTATGCAGTTGTGCACACGCTTAATGAAAGACCAAGTGATGAACACAGAGACTGAGCACTGAAACTTGATAGGAATGTAGCTATAGCTCTTTTCAAAGGAATTAAGGTTTTAAAAAAAACCTTTACTACGAAATTCTTTGGTTAGAATACAAATGCTAGCAGTATTTGTAAATTTGGAATTAGAACAATTTATTATTCAAAAGTTTTAAAAACACAACTTCAAGCCTTTAATATGTACCAGTAAATTCTTCGACACTTCACATATATTTAGGCTATTTTTCCGTGATGGTCTGAACAGACAATACAAATTCTTAAATCAAGTTTAGGTTTTTAAAGGAAAGTGCTTTTGTACTCCAGACTTCAAGAATTTATTAAAAAGAGCTGCTCCATCTTCCCCCTCCCAGTAAAACCTGCTGCTCAGATGATCTGTTCCAAAGCAGACTATGACTGCCTCCTCCAGCAGAGACTGTTAGACAGCAGTAACAAAATACAGCTCAAAAGGGGTAATTTCCTCTGAAGGAAGTTGGCATCATTCTTGTTTTTCTAAGGACAGGGCTCAATCCTTCCTAAGAAGCATTAAGTCTATCTAGGAAGAGGAACATAACTCTTACCAGTGTCAGTGCCCTAGTAGTACTGTCACGAAACTAAGAAACTGGTTCTTTAAGAAGTGGTTTTGTCATCAATTCTGTTGGCTTGAGAGTTTTACAGCACTAACATGACAAAAAATAATAAGCAGGATGCTCTTGATTACAATTACAATGTACATCTGCATTATTTCAAGGTATGAGATTTCAGCTTCCCAGGAAGCAGCCCCTACTTTTACTCTGGCAAGCCTGGCTTCATCTCACTCGCATCGTTTTGAGGGTGTTTAAGGAAATGCGCATTGAGATTCCTGTTCATATTATAGACAGCAACTTCAAAAGAATTATAAGGACTTCAGACCGCCCATGAAAGTTACGATTCACAAGCACTATAATTTTGCAAAGTGTTGTTGTTTTACCTCTCAATGGAATAAACACGTCTCTGAGGACACTTTATAGTTCAAATGGTTGGTTATCTAGCAAACTTGTCCTTTCACATCAGCCTTACATGCTTGCTGCACAGGCCCTGGTCCAGTTTAACAGCTTGGAGAGAGGAGTTCAGAGATACAGGGAGCAGAGAGGGGAGATGGAAGCAATCTGTCGTGAAGGGCCACATGCATGCCTCCTCCAGAATTACTCATCTCTACAGATAAAGTATGAGCCAGTGCAAGCCCCTCACAGTCAGGCATTACTTCTATGTGACAGTCCTTCACAGACAGACATCACTTTGATGAGGTGGGGGGTTAAAATGGACCATTTTGGGTCTGCCCAACAAGGGTCTTGGGATGAGAAAAGATAGCCATTTATCATGCCATCTTCAACAGAAAATGCTTTTGAGCAACTCAGATCAGTTTCTCAGCCCCTAATTGGATGTTTTTTAAAACACCCCACCATGCCAGAGCTATTCCTCAGCTCCGTGCGTGGTGAGGGGCAGGGACTGGGCACACCTGCACGCTTTCTTGTACTTGTCTACTCCCAATATCTCTCTCCTTCCTCGCTACCAACACAGCTGCTGGGAGACGTGGGAGGAGGAGGATGGTGCGAGCCGGGATACGGTGGCTGATTAGGGACATGGTGGCCAAGCAGGGACATGGCAGCCGAGGCACAACAGAGTGACCTCCCGCCCCTAGGGCCGTCAGGAGGTGCTATAAGAGGGGTGGGGGCTGCGCAGGGGCTGACCCGCCTTGTGCGTGGAGGCAGACACCGGGGTGAGGAAAGCACAGGGGGACACGGCCCCCCTCCACATCCTCCTTCCTCCGGCATGGGAGGGGACCTTGGGTGCGAGGGTGTGCAGGGGCCGCTGCCTTGTCCCCACGCCACGGGCTAGGCGAATGCTCAGTCCCGGCAGAAGACATACTCGGTGTAGCTGGTCCAGATCTTGTCATCGGCAGGACCACCCTGCTCGGGGGCGAAGGCGCAGGTGCCAGTGGAGGAGCAGGCGGCCATGCGGAAGCCGGCCTCGGAGAGTCGGTCGAAGGCTTGCTCGAGGAAGTTGAACTTGAGGTAGTAGCGGGCGGTGTAGCGCTCGGGAGGGCGGTCAGGGTCGCGGCTCTCGTTCAGCGTCTCCCCGAAGACCTCCTTGGCCAGGGCCGTCTTGCCGCAGACGGTGATGCGGGCCACTCGCCGGAACTTGGCGTCGGCCTGTGCCTCCCGCCCGATGGTGTAGGAGCCCCGGTAGCCGATGGTGATGTAGCCCGAGCGCCGCCCGCCCGCCCCGTCCAGCGACTGCGAGGGCGTGAGCAGCGGCCCGCCCGAGGGGCTGCGGCTGGCGGTGGGCGACGGGGCGGACCCCACGGCCCCGCCGCCTCCTTCCAGCGGCTCTGCCTCCAGGTAGCCGAGGAGCGGCGGCGGCGGTTCTTCGGCGCAGATGGAGCCGTCGCGGTGCAGGGCGGCGGGGCGGACGGCGGCGGCCCGAGTCTGCGCCAGGCGGCGAGCCAGGTCGGGCAGCTGGAAGTACTCGGCCTCCCGCTGGAGGCGGCTGCGCTCAGGGAAGTGCTCGGGCAGCACCAGCTGCAGGTCCCGCAGGTAGTCCAGGATGTAGCGGAAGAGGAAGCCGTCGCGGTCGAGGAAGAAGCGGCCCTTGCTGTCCCGGGGCAGCTCGCTGGGCTGCTGCTGCGAGAACATGCGCCAGAGCAGCGAGTCGCGCACCGAGACCACGGTGCAGCGCCGCGTCACGTACACCTGCCCGCCCACGTTCAGCTCCACGATCTCCGGGAAGGACGACCAGCCGCCCGTGGCCGCTGCCACCGCCCCGCTGCCCGGCGCCCCGCTCCCCGCAGCCGGCGAGACGCCGCCGCCGTTGGGCATCCCGCGGGCGCTGTCCGCCAGGGCCATACCGCAGGGAGCCCGCCGCCGGCGGGGAGCCCACGCCCTTCCTCCTCCTGCTCTTCCTCCGGCCGCCTGGGCTACGGCAGGGCCGCCGCCCTCGGGGGAGAGCGCAACCCTCCGCTGCTGCCCGCCGGAGCCTCCCGCCCCGTCTGCCGCCGGAGCCGCGCTGCCGCTGCGCTCCCCGCAGCCGCTCCCCTGCCCGCTGCCGGACGAGCTCCTCCGTCGGGCTGCGAAAGCAGAGCCCCGGCGGCGGCGGCGGAGCCGTGTTTATGTATCGCGGCCGCACCTCGCGGGAGGCGTGGGAGGCTGGCGGGAGGCAGAGCCGAGCGCACGGGGAGGGGAAGGGGACGGCCCTGCACTGACGCAGGGTCCCCCGTCGTCGTCCGTACCCCCCCTACACGCACACACAACCCCCCCTGCCCCGGGGCTCTTTCCAGGGTTGCGGGGGGACCGTTTCCACGCACGGAGTGCGGCCGCCGGGCTTCCCTGGCCGTGGAGGGGCACCGCGGTGAGCGGCAAGCGGGGGTAAAACGTTGGGTGGGCCGCCTCCCTCCCTGCCTTCCCTAACCCTCCGAACTCGCTCCCCGGCTTCTCCGAGACGTTTTGTCTTTTCGCAGGCAAGAAAACCCCTCCGTTCGCCCCGAGTAGCGGGAGCCGGGAAGCAGCGGGACTGGTGCCCTGCTGAAGGAGCTGTGCCGTGCCCTTGCTAATCTTTCTAAGGCTTGTCCAAACCCTCGCCAAGTGAGACCCCCCCGACGAGGTAACTGTGTCCCCTCTCTCCTGTCGGCTTTGCAGGGGAAAACGAGAGCGTGCATTGCTGCCCGCGCTCGTCTCACACGGGTCCCCGGCCCCTTTCTGGCTTGCGGGATACCCGCATCACTACGCAGGTTTTTAATGCCCATAATAAGGACTCCGTGAAAACCTCCTGCCGATCCGTATTCTCGGAGGGAGACTCGGCGGGTCGCACCGTCGGATGGCACTGCGAGCGCCTTTCTAGGGGTGCCCCACCGCCGGGAGCCGGCTCTCCCCGGCCGGAGGAATCCCTGGTGGCGAGGGGCACCCCGGAGCGGAAGGGGTCCCCTCCAGCTGCCTGACAAGGGGCACTTTGCCGTGAGAGCCAGGCTCCTCGAGTCTGTGTCTGTGTGGATATGTATATAATTGGGTGCCCGTGCAGCTCAGATTTAATTTGGATTAATTAGGATACATCAGGATCTACGTGAAGCATAAGCACCTATTTAACATGCGTTGGTAGAAAGCATTTAAATTATGTTTCAGGCTTTTGCTTGAATTTAATATACACTTCTGTGTCTCTTTGCAAGCAGTAGTAAAGAGCTGCTGCCTTGATGTATTCAGTTGCACTCCCTTGGGAATTCCAGTGTGCTTTCTTCCTGGAGAGAACAGCTGAAAGGACAGGAAGATCTGAGGAGTATGAAGACAATGGTCAATGCTTTCCTTTCGTGGGGTGAACGAAGCCCTCTCTGGGCTACCCTACTGCAAATGCCCCATTGCAGTCGTCCATGACGTAGAAATCAAAAGATGCAGAGAGAGGAGGTAGAAGTCCTTCAAAACTTGAGAAATTGGAAAGGAAGGAAAGGCAAGTTAGTTCTCAAGGCGCAAGCTAAGTTTGCCCAAGACAAGAAGAAGAGGAAGAAAAGGAGTTGAGAAATACAAGTTTTGAAAAGGGAATAAAGAACAATGTGTGGAGGGAGAGCTGACAGGGATACTGTGGTCTAAGGAAGGAGGTGGGTGGTCTTAGGACACTGGACACTGAGAAGTTACAGGAGTTTCATCTCAACAGGACTAAGAATGTGGTAACAAATGTACGGAACATTATGTTTTCCATGTGGGAAAGCCAGCTGCCAATACTTTGACCACCAAGTATTTTCATTTGTGGGAGCAAAATGGCAAAGTAGGTTAATCTGATGTTTTGCTCACATTTTGTTACAAGAGCTTACTTTTCTTTTTTTTTTTTTTGAGAGGAGTAGGAGAGAGGTTAAAACTGTTCTGAAAGACCAGGGAAAAATAAAATGAGCCTAACTGAAGTTGTTTTGCTACCTATTTAAACATCTGAGTTTATTGACGTAGTAAAAAAAAAAAAAAAATGAAAATAACGTGACTGATCTGCTGGCACGCAGGGAATCTTTGTTTTCTTCTCGTGTACTATTTTAGAGTCAATTCACCAGACTAAAAGCACATGAAATTTGCACATGGTGGTTTGCTGGTGACAGTTTTATGGAGTTACTTTTACCTCTTGGTCTCTTAATGTGGCATCTCCCTCCGCATCACCCTGCTCCTGGCCATACTTAGCAAGAAACCACCTCAAGAGCCTCCCACAGATTTGTATTTTAAACTGCACTTCCCTAGTGTGGGCTCTCTATCGAGAGCACTGTGATTAAACTGTGCACCCAGAAGATGAGATCATATAATCCTTGTGCAGGCGCTTATTCACTGCAGAATTTGCAGTGGAAGATTTTGTACCTAGCAGCAGGTGAGTCTTAACAAATGCTCCCATGTCAAAAAATGGCACGTTTAATTCATCTGTTAATTACATTTCACTTTTTGGCATTCAGTGATTAATAAAGTAGGTTAACCAAAAAAAAAAAAAGGCACCAACATATTTATTAGACTTGAACTTTCTATTTGCCTTGAGCTTTGTTAGATTTGAGACAAGACTGTAAGACCTGAGCTCAATGGGTCTTCCAGCTCATGTTTTCAGAAGTTTCAGAGACAAGTAAGTTGCGCTCCTCCTTCAGACACTGGCTCTCCAGAGCTTTACCTCCACCTGCCTATCATTTATGGGGAGGCCAGGTGAGAAGGACCCACCATGCCCCTGTGCAGCACTATATGATGTTCAAAGCCATGCACATTATAGGGCTGGGGGGAGACACAGCTGTCACAAGCCCTTTTTTGGGCCACTGTCCCAAATCTTTCTTTAGGGGTGCAAACCAGTCCATCCCACTGCACTATTCTCTCTGTCAATGTGTAGTTGACCTTGGACTCCCCTTCAAAAAGGGATTAAGGAGCCTTGTCATAGGAAGACTTTGTTCATAAAGCCTATTCAACAGTCCTGGACGAAGACCCGGTTTGCAGTGTTTATCTCTGAGATAGATGTCATTTTTTAGGCTTAAAAACATGCCCAGTACTGAAATATCTGGTTTGAAGCCATGTCTCTTCAGAGGAATTATATTCCATGGGCATCTCACTGCTGCTTTATGCCTTGCCTGCCTGTAAGGCTTTGGTTATTGTAACTTCTTTTATCAACAGATTTTTTTCCTCTTTTCACAAAATATTCATCTAGTTTCTTCTCAATTTCCTACCACTTTTCATTTGACTATGTTTGTCTCAGGAGACTTGGACTTCATCTGTGCATATTACAATGCATAAATATATAAACAATTTTTTACTTATGTGTCAGTCAGTGAGTTGCATAACACAGTCATAATCTCAGTGCTTTATTCTTACTTTGTGTGGGAGACAGTGAAATATTAGTACACGTAACATTGAAGACTGCCACGGAATGCCTCCTAAGGCATACGCCCCCTGTAAAGGGCATTAAATATTAAATATGGTCTGTTGGACAGGCAAGGCTTTACGACAATAAATGTGTAGTTGAATTTCTTTGTGCAGTACTGTGACATTTCTGAACAATAACTCCTTCAGATAAGACAGTCACATTTCAATGTTTGCTTTTAGCTGCCTACCAGAACTAGCTACGGGCGTGCTGTCTTAATCCTCTGGGATTCAACAGCTTCTCTTTTAATATTTGGAGAAGTTTAGACTGGTTTTGGGGGGATATTGGTTTTGGTTTGGTTGGGGTTTTGTGTTTTGTGTTTTTTTTTTTTTTTTTAATTGGTCGGTTGGGGATGTTTGTTTGTTTGTTTGTTAGGGGGGGACGGGGAGGCTTTTGTTGTTTCAGTGTTTACAAAGATGTTTTCATCACGATTGGGCCCCTATTTTGCGTTTTGGGCAGTGCACCCACGGATGGTCCAGGTTTATTCAGGGAGGACAGTTTCCTTCACAAACCATAGAGGAAGGGTACCACCTAGTGTGAGGAAACACTACATTGCGATTAAGGAATGCAAAGGGCTCCTTAAGAGCCAAGATACATGATAAAGAGAAAACTATACTTTTTGTTGTGTTTTTTTTGTTTCAAAGTAGATTTAAACTATTATACTAGTATATTCAACTTCTTGAGAAACTTCACAGAGCAAGAACACATTTTACCCCTGTTCTGAACTAAAGTATTGGGGTTTTATTTCTTCTTGCAGTCTGCATTGTGTGAAATGGTCTAACATCGCTTAGAAAATGCCTAGTTATGTATGACTGAATTGTCTGAATTATAATACTGATTGCAGTGAAATATTTAGCCATCTGCATAAAATCATCAAAACTTGTTAGTGACCTAAACTGAACTGGAGGTTCAAATATGCTAATTTAAGCTTCACAATCTTGCTTAGAGGATGCAGGAAAAAGAGTCTGGTAGTCCCACAGCAGAATTCATTGCCTAAGAGTCAGAAATCTTTCACATTGTTGGGACTTAGGTTCCCTCTAAAATGTGTGAAGTTCCATAGGCTTGACTTTGACAGTCATTGGGTGGCTATTACATGAAACCTTTCCCATTCCTGAGTCCTTGTTCAGAGTGAAATTATCAGCCTTGGTGTTATACTCAAGTCATACCAAGGAATATTTCCCAAAACTTGAAACGTGCATTATTCCACCCAAAGACAGAAGAACTCAAGCTACTTCAAAAGTAAGTAGTCTCCTTCGGCAAACTCAGTATCACTGTATATAGCTGGACATCACAAATGCACACATTCATAGATTTCCATATTCCATGTGAATTGTAATGAATGTTACCTGTGAAGTTATATCTGATAATATCTGCTCACAGAGCTTGTTTTGTCTGTGTGTTTGCCTGAACAGTTGCATATATTTGGCTGGAACTGCATGTTCTGGGAAATCCAGCTGCTATGAAAACCCACGTGTTCAAACCCAAAAGATACAACCTGTATTATTCTGATTTTTCAGTAAGGGACCTCAGAAGGTCATCAAGTGCTCAAGCACTTTCCTCCTGCTGGGGGGGCTACAGACATTGCTTTGGATAATTCTGTGGGGGCAATGCTCTGCAGAGTCTGGAGGAGTGGGAGGGAGGAAGTGAGGGAGGGAAGGACAGCCATTAGCTGTGTATTCTGTGTCCTTGGCCGATACAGAGCTACAGAGTGTGACTGAGAAACGTAATCAAGTGA